ATACTACACACATTGTGTTTACAATTTTGCAGCAACATATGGATATGAGAAAGCTCTGCTCGAAGTGGGTGCCGCTATTGCTCACACTGGACCAAAAGCAAGAACGCGTCGATGCTTCCGCGAAGTGTTTACGCTTGTTAAAGCGTAATGCAGTAGGACGGGTTTTTTTTCGCCGTTACGTAACCAAGGATGAAACACGGATACATCACTATACTCCAGAATCCTGTCGCCTGTCTTCTGAGTGGTAACCGGTAAAAGCGGACCGAAGCTTCCAAAAGCACAAATATCGGCGGTTAAGGCGTCCGTATTTTGGGATGCGTATGGAATTTTGAACATAGACTACTTAGAGAAAGGTAAAACGATCAACAGCAAATATTATCTAACATTGCTGGATCCACTAGACCGTGCCATCAAGGAAAAATGCCAGCATGTATGGAAAAAAAAATTTACTGTATTCAAAAAATTTTTTTTTTAATTTTATTGAGATTGTTAGCTTGACTTATGTTTTGCCTAACTTGATATTGTCTTTTTACGCGTTTTCTATAAATGATTTTTAGTTTTATTATTAATAATATAATGGCGACAAAAGTCAAGATTTATTACAACGCTAAGGAGCTTTACTAGTGTAACTGTTTTTTTAAATCAACTTTTTGCCTAATTAGCTTACATTTTAGTTTAAAATTTCAAAAATATCCATAAAATATAATATTAAGGCCGAAAAAAACGCATATTTTTAAGATTTTTTTGCCGGTTTTGTTTGATTTTCAAGATAAATTTATTTTTTTTTCATTTTATTGCTTAGTACTCTAATGGCATATGTATGATATAGCTGCGCCTGTTTTATAAATATATATTTCAATGAGTATTAATGCAAATTTGAGTAGAAACATCGATGCAAAGCTCTTTGATGTTCTCAAAATGAAACATCTATGTTGGGTTGATACTTGGAATAGAAAATTTGATAAATAGATGAATGTCCGATGTTTTAACATATTTTCACGGACCGAACACAAGCTCTATTCAAATATTGTATTGAACCATTTATTTGTAGATACCCTATAACAGTGTACCTTACCTTACCTAGGTAAAGATTTTTATTTATCTTATAAATTTGCTATAATGTGTATTTGGGTACTGAAATATTTTTATTCAATTTTGTTTTCAAATTACCTTGATACCTTAATTTCGTATTGTTGAATAAAAAGTAAATAATTACAATGAAAATTAACGAAATTTAATTCCACCGCACATGCTAGATAAAAGATGTTTCTTGTCACATGTGTCTGCTACAACATATACACAAAATCCCAATTCGTGAAGAACAAAACGATTAAATTAAAAAAAAAATGGTTTTAAAAAAAGGTTTTTATCTTTTTTGTACCTTTTACCTTACCTAGATACATAACAAATTTTTTTTTCTTTAGCTTACCTAAGTACTTATTTTCACAAATACCTTGTACCTTACCTAGATCCAAAAAACAAGTACCTTTCCCAACACTTATCGCTTATAACAGCAAACGACTTTGTAGCTCCTGGCAACCAAGGAAAAATAGTTACTTAGCGATAACTAAATTGAGCACTCTGGATTTCATTTTGGTTTGTCAACCTAATATATTCAGCAGAATCTATCTGAATGGCTAATTCAACAGTTTTTAAGTTTGCTTTGATTTTCTCACAATACTCTAGTTGAGTTCTTTTCACAAAAAAATATTTTATAAAGGAAGTCAATTTTGTTTCCAAAATCTGTAACAAATTAAAAAAAGTTGAATTGGTATTGGTCAAAGTTAATTGTTTATCAATTTTCCGCCAATGCTGCCAGTTTACTTCGTCTTCCATATTTTTCCAATATGCTAAAAGAATATACTCATTTTTTAAGTCTTTTATGCACTTGTTCCAATTTCTTGTCATGCAATTTTCAATATAAATATTGCAGCAAACAGATTTTAGGAAATTAAGGTATAATTTCAGCGCAGCTTTCCAATAAATATCCGAAGTTCGCATGGTATATACAAACACACATATTGAAGACATTTTAATTATTACAAAATTATTTATTTGTTATTCGGAAAGTCCTTCTTGGAAAGCTGGGACGCCTCAGACAATGGTCGTATCCAGCAGAACAACATGATCACTGATCCCCGATGGATTTCTTACGAAAGTTCTGCTGAACGCGTTTGATAACTGATCATCTTCCATCATGATCGCCAAAAAAGAAGCGTAAAAATAGTAAGCTACTTTTTCTTGATACATGATACATATCTGCTAGCCTATATCAATGGTATATATATCGAGAAGAATAGCCAGAAAATTCAGAATGTAAACAAAACAAAATTAAAAAACAAACAAAACAAGCAAAAATGTATTAATTAATATGCGTAATGTATCATAAGCATTCAGCAGAACAAGCCGAACCGTAATCAGTGATCATGTTGTTCTGGTGAATACGCCCAATGTCATCATCATGAAGCGTTTAGCAAAATTTTTATCAGACAATATTGTGTTCTTTATTCCCGAAGATTGCACACGTATACTATCGTTAAAATAAAACTGTTTAATAGGCAAAGCTAAACATTTTGTAATTGTTTGAATACCCTTCTTTTTATTTTTAATTTTTTCAATGGGCGGAACATAATTGGAGTGCAAAGTTTTTATTAGTACTATTTTTTTCCCAAACCTTTTTTTAAAGGCTTTTCCCATTGTTTCTGTCTGCATTTATAAGGCGCAATTCCGCGAGCTTATTTCTCTTGCATATGCGCTCAAAACGTTTTCTATCTAAAATCATTTCAGCATTTCCTTCAGCAAATTTTGTTGTCCTTTGCCTTGCCATTTCATGTCTTTTCATATTTTTTAATTAATTGCTTTTTAATTTTTCTTTATCCTCCTTTAATTTATTTCTCCACCGTTTGCATTTGTTTTTATTTTTTTCGCCGTCACTCATCTAAATTAAAAATAAAAGAATGTATTTACTTTTCCACAATCAAATTACAAAAATTTTCTTTTTGAAAACGTTTCTTTTTCTGCTCGGGACCATCTTTTCTGATCAATTAATCTGACAACTATATTTACATTTGAAATAAAAAAACTGGGTCTTTTTCGTGTTCCAAAAATCTGTTTGAGCTCCAAATTTGATAGTGTTGCTGTGATGGGTATCGACGCAATAGTCAGAAGATAAGTTCTCCTATGTCGCTCGGGTCATTGGACAATACAATAATGTAGAGCAAAAATGTGCCGTTATTCGCAATCGCAAACTGACTTTGGCTTTTTTTTGTTTAATTCTTTACACCTTAACAGATATTATGGACAGATCAGTATCAAAACAAAACAAGCGATCGATTTATACAAAATCGTAAAGCTTCGCAATATTCAGTATCTGTAACAGGATATGAAAATACCATATATTTTTTTGAAATAATTAAATATCATTCCTTTTCTTGAGAAACATTTTTAAAACTAGTCTGTTCGATAACTTTAAATTTTTTTTTGTCGTGGTTGACATTCTTGTGGAAATGCCCATATATGTTTATTTTGGTTATAAATTAGCATTCCTTAGCACAGAAATAATAATAACTCAAAGTATTAAATTCAAAAAAATCAACAATCGGAATATTAAAAGAAATATATGGGAAAATATATGATACATCTCTGATTAAAAGTTGTTTTTCTTCAAATTCTTTTGGACATAGTAATGGTTAAATACTTGTAGTTCAAAATAAAGCTTTTAATTTTTTTAAAATCGGAAATATAGCTGCCATACGAATGTAAAGTTTACCACCAACATACCATTTGAGCCAATATTATAATTTAATTTAACTTGTGCTATTATTATTTATAAAAATCGGTATTTCACCATTTGCGTCAGAAGATTATTATTCAAAATTTGTATTCTTTTACATGCGGTATACAATATTATTGTATCTGCAATGTGCTTTAAGTCTTTGAACAGCCTTATTCAGGCTACCACAAAAAAAAAAAGTGCTCAAGAAATAATTAAAATAATAAATTTCTTTAAATATTGATTGATATCAATAATCAACTGCAGTTAACCGCCAAAATAAATTCAATGTTTCATATGCGTACTAAACAGCGCACTCTCATCATTAATCATTAATGCTGTAACAGCAGCCATGACAATTAAATTAGATTAGATTTTGTTGGTTTGTAATGTAACCGTGTAGATAACACTGAATTTACCGAACAACACCATCAAGGAATAATTGACTGAAAATCTGAATTTTTGAATTTGAACTTGAGTACTGGGCCATAAGATGTATTCCAAAGATTTACGGCATGCTTACTTTGAAAATTACTGTTGAAATGAAAAACCAAAGCATTCTGTGTGGAAAAATAACCGTAAGAGAAGTGAATATTTAAACTATTATTAAATTTAAATAGTTGATATCGTCGTTGGATGTGTGAAGCCACTGATTTATAGTGTGCGTGCTGTAGAATTGTTAAAATATCGATGGTGTCTAAATCATTAAAGTCACAGTATACATATGTACATATATTAAAAAATAAAGCCTTTAAGATTATTGGAGATTATTAAGACCTCACAAAAATCCCAAAGGCGACTGGATTTCCATAGTATTCAAAAAATATAGTATAAAAAAGTTTTCGATAAAAAACTGTTTTTATTAAAACTTGTAAAAAACGCGTATTATTGTATTTTTCATTATTAAGGTATTTTCTTAAATACTAAATCACGAATTTCCGTTTACTGAGGGAACGACTAAACATTGTCCCCTCCAGTCAAGTGGTAGTTGCAGTGCTGAAATTTCTGCCAGTTGAATTTGTATGTAAATCAGTTCAACGATTCAGTCGCTTAGTGAAACCCTAAAACGTCCATAGTCAAACCATTGAAATTAAAGAGAGTACAGTCGATGTTTTGACAGTTCTACTTTTGTGACCGCTGATGTATAGTAATGTAAGGCGCTGCGTAATTATTGAGCACTGTTAAATGGCGTACCAGTATTAATTTAATTTTGTGTTCATACATATAGCTTTTCAACAATTTCACTTGAGTGTAACAATGGATAATTACATAGAAGCGGCACCAATTCCTATCCCTATTAATGTGGACGCTGCTGAAACAACTCGATTCTCCCCTCTACGTTCACGTGATATCTCGTCCACTGTGATTCCGGTACAAGCGTTAATCTCAAGCATCGACATCACCACTGACAACAGTTTCAGTGCAGTCTTTTCGAACGATTTTCAAGATGCTCATGTACAATCCTACGATTGCATTGGACTAATTAGCCTCAACTCAGCGATGCAAAGCAATGTACCAACGCCGTTCGGAGGATTCAACAAGTTTTCACATCTTAATATGCCCGGCGGACAGTGGTCACAGGAATATAAGTTTATATCACAAAATATTCAAAATTCTCACTACAGTGCTCTTCGCGAAAATTCAAGAGCGGATTGGGCGACCTACGATCAAAATGCCATTGTTGGAAGTATTGGCCAAGGTGAGATGCTCAACTGCTGGGTGAACTTAACTGAAAAAATTTATTTCTAATTTTCAGCGATAATAGAAATCTTAGCCAATTTTCTTAATGTCGTCAAAAATCTTCATACAGCCTCCAGGGTCCTATTGAGTTAGCTACCGATTGCCCAAAGCGATAAGAAAAAAAATTATTCAAGAAAAGCTGTTTCACCATCACTAGGAGAATACTACATAGCAGTTTTCAGTTTGATTGGTTTTGTATAATAAAGGGCACTTCTTTGTTTTGAAGAAATTGGACATAATATTAGGGGTGGTTGCTAAAAAATTTCAAATAATAAATACATGGGATTTTGAAATATAAATACGATTTTTTTCATTTTTTTGTTGATACAAAATGTAAATTGTAAATATTTTCTGATAATTCCGCTACCGACCATAAGCAAGCCCTCAATACACATTTGAGCAACATTTCGTGACAAGTTCTCTGACCGTCAGCCTGAATAACTGAGACAAAGGAGTGCGAGCATTTTATATGTTCTGTGCCGACCATTGTATTAAAAGGGGTAACTTTCGTAGTTTGGAAGATTTTGAGTTGAAATTCCGCAAATGTATTCTGAAAACATATGCATCTCTCCAAGGTTTTTCTAAACGAAACTCCCCTTAAAATATTTATTTTATCCTTGCAGAGGGTATTATAATTTCAGTCAGTAGTTTGCAACGCAGTGAAGAAGTCGTTTCCGACCCTACAGTGTATATATATTCTTGATCAGCATCACTAGGAGAGTCGATCTAGCCATGTCCGTCTGTCCGTCCGTTTCTACGCAAACTAGTCCCTCACTTTAAAAGCTATCTGCATGAAACTTTCGCAAAAGTTGTCTTTCTTGCAGGTAGTATATTAGTCGGAACGCGCCGGATCGGACGACTCTAGCATATAGCTCCCATAGGAACAATCGGAAAAATAAATGAAAAAAAAATTATAGTTTTTCTGTTTTTTTAAAATTTTTTTTTTAGTTCCCTGACATATAGTAAGTCACTGGGTGGGTAAGTCATTACGACGGAGACGTGACTGATTGCTCAACCTTGTTAGACCTCTCGCCAAGTGGTTAGGGAGCAAAGATAGCTTGGTAAAGTACTTTTCCTTCTGTTCAGCGATCACTTCTTTGACTGGAAGAATGTTTAAGTCACGAAGTATGTTTTGTTGTGATTGTTCTGAAGATCTTCGACTGAGCTCGCTGGACTATATCAATATTGCTATTGCTGGCATTCCCCCATAACTGGGAGCCGTACATCCATATAGGTTTTAGTACCGAGTTGTATAGCAGGACTTTATATTTAAGGCTACGGGGAGACCGAGCGTTGGTAAGCCAATGAAGGCTGCTGGCTTTTAGCTTTAGATGTGTTCTTTTGGCTTCAATGTGCCGGCGCCATGTGAGTCATCTGTCGAGGTGTACTCCAAGATACTCCAAGAATAGCTGTAACATCAGCAAACGTAGATGTTGTTAGTCGTATGCTTGTCAGGATGTCTGCTGTGTAGAGAACATATAGTGTTGGCCCAAGCACGCTGCATTGAAGAACTCCAGCTCCAATAGTGAAATCGTCAATTATAGCAGTGTTGCACCTCACAGCAAATTTTCTGTCGTTAAGGTAAGACTCTTAAAGCTTGTGGGTGTTGAAGGGGAACATTGTCTTGATCTTTTACATTAGACCTTCTTCCAAACTCCGAAATCCAAATTTCTGATGGTATCCGGTTGACCTGCTCAATTGTTCCGTGCTTTTCACGGAACCCAAGTTGATATGATGGGATTCCTTCCTGGATTTCTTTTTCCATCTCACTGGAAAGTGGGCAAGTTTTGCGATGGCATTGAAAAGCTGGGTGATAGTGCAAACGGCGCAATATGGGAGCTCTGTTATGAGGTCGCAGCCCGGGAATTTTTTCGGATTCAGCTGATTTTTGATGATGCTAACGATTTCGTTTGGGCTAAACTCAATTGGCTCATGTTGAAGCTGGGCTATCCATAGTGAGTGCTTTGTAGATGTTGACAATTGCTCTTTGTAGCGGCGCTGGACATATGCTTCTTCTTGTTGTAAAGGCATATCTGAAGCTTTGTATAGCAGATGGCGATCTGGGGAATTGCTACTCTCGACGTAAGCGTCGCTTTTCGAGGACGACCTGTTCGATTTGTAAATTTGACTTCTTTTGATTGCATTGGGTAGTTGGTTTTGGTTTTTGGTTTTCTGTGAAGTCAGTTTAAACGATTGTTCCAATGTTCCTGGATGTCGGAGTAAAATAAACAGGACAGGCGAGTGATCAGATGAAAGATCTCGAAGGCATTCGGCGCTTATCAGATTTTTAGGAATAGTTTTGGTGATCGCAAAGTCTATTGAGTCGGGCAGTTTCTTTGGGTCTGCCGGCTAGTATGTTGGTGTACCAGAAGAAACATAGTCGAGCTTGTGCTTGGCTTTTATAATTGCATTGTAGAGCTGTTTTCCTTATGGAGTCACAAGTCGAGAAACCCAGTGTGTGTGCTTGGTATTGTAGTCTCCTGCTGCTATTAAGTAATCTCCTAGTGAGTTGAAAAACTGCATAAACTCATCTTCAGCTATAGTGAAGCGGGGGGGCAGTATATGGCGGCTAGGTTAAGTTGGTTGCCTGTATTTAGTTGAATATTTAAAGATGTGGCCTGTGGGTAGTTTTTAGCAAATTTGTTATAATAGTGGCGTTTAACACGGCTTCTGATTAGAATTCCAGTCCCACCATGTGCTTTACCATCTGGATGATTTGTTCCGTAGAATGAATAGCCTCGTAGTTGAAAATTGTATTTGTTTGTGAGGTGTGTTTCTGAAAGCAGCATTATGTCGATATGAGCTAACTAAAGTTTATGCTGTGAAACGCCGTTAGCGTTCCACGTAGATATCCGTAGGGAATTCATTATTTGGATTGTTGTGAAATCAGCATTTGAATCAATAAATTTTGGTTTCGCATTAAATCTTGCATAGTTGTGCGCATAAACGACATAAACTCCATAAGGCTTTATGGAAAGCTGCATATCATAGCTTCAAAATTGCATTTTGGCTGCTTCGGCGATTGATGCTGCTAAGCCGTGTTCAGTTCTTAATATGCTGAATGCAAAAATTAACTTTTTTAAAGCGCTTGCGAATGTCACATTTTTGTCAGAGTTTATGGGTCCTAGTAAGGATCTGGCTGCAGTCGAGAAGAAGACTACAGGGTTTGTTCTGGAAGCTGTCAACTGTTTATTTTGGGATGCGACTTTTTAGCTTTTTATAAACTGGGCAAACTCTGTAGTTAGCAGTGTGGTTGCCAGTCATGAAGCCACAAGCTACACACACCGGGCGCAGTTTACAGTATGACCTTGTATGGCCATATTCTTGGCAGTTCGCACATTGTACCGGACCATTGTGTTTGTGCGGTTTCTCTACTGCAATTTTGCGGTGCAGCAGGAACTTTCTTTAGGGTCTTATTTTCTGGTGCGAGCTCTACCTTAAGCTCTATTCATACGACTTGCAGCCCCTTGCTGTTTTTTAGCTGATACGTGTAAAAGTTCTTTTCATTCTCGGTAAGGTATTTCGATATTACTCTGTAATTATCATTTGAACTTTGGGTTCTGTTTTGTCTTATTAATAATTTTTGACAGTTCAGAAATATACTTTTAATTTTATTAAATTCGGCAAACGATATCATATAGCTGCCATAGGAACTATCGAATAATTAAGCTGCAAATCATCATATCTTAAATGTTTTTAGACATATACGCAAGTAAATGATAATTTTAATGTTTTCAAGAATATTTAATTTTCGCAATAGCTGCAAAGGTAAAAAAACTTTGGCTTGCCGAAGATTGCTTCTTTCTTGTTTATTAATAGTTTTACAGTTCCGAATACGATATCATATAGCTTCCATAGGAACTATCAAATAATTGAGCTGCAAATCATCACGGCCTCAAATAAAAACTCTAAAACCCTCCTTGTAAAAAAAAACTCTAGCCACTTTCAAGGACCGAGAAAAGAATTTTAAAATAAGCCGTAATATCTTATTTGATATTGCACATGCTGATGTCTTGAAAATAATAAAAATAGTGAAAGACAAACTATTTTTGAATAAACAAAAAAAACCAGGACAAACAGGATATTTAGCTTGTGCAGACAAAAATTTACGGAGAAAGAGCTTGGCACAGACGATTGAAGGAAGAGGAAAGGCATGTAAAGCAAAGAGAGCTATTGGCTTTTGCATCTACTTCTATACCAAGCAACTTATAGTATTCGGAAGATCCTGAACTGGTTTTGCTAGACGTTGCTTGCTCTGAAAAAGTATAAAATCATGATATCGTTTACGATTTTAATATTGGACTGTCAAATTATTAATTAATCAAAAAAAATTTCTAAAAAAAATTACAAAATAATAAGTTAAATTAAAAACAAAATTTGTTTTAATATTTTTATTGTTTCCCTGGGAGCTAAATGATTTTGATAAAATTTAAACCATAATTCTGAAATATTTAACCATTACTAAACAAAATTAAACAAAAGAACTAAATAAAATTAAAATTAATTAAAAACAATAAAGAAAGCAAACTTCGGCAAGCCGAAGTTCATATACCCTTGCAGCTATTGCAAGAATTAAATACTTTTGAAAACATTAAAATTATGATTTAATTGCGTATATGTTGAAAACCATTAAAGCTATGATGATTTGCAGCTCAAATATTAAATAGTTATTTTATATATTTTTATTATTTCTATGGGAGCTATGTGATATAGTCGTCCGATTTTGATGAAATTTAAACCGTAATTCTGAAATAATTACTCAATACTATATGTCAAAGAACTAAGAAAAAAATTAAAAAACACCTAAGTTATAATTTTTGTTCATTTTTTTCCGATTGTTCCTATGGGAGCTATATGATATAGTCGTCCGATTTTGATGAAATTTAAACCGTAATTCTGAAATAATTAACCAATACTATATGTCGAAGAACTAAGAAAAAAATTAAGATATAGCAAAGT